TAATTACATGTATAAACGACAGTAGTTGCAGGCGGCGTTCGTGGCTTCTTCCCATATTAATAATAGATTCCTCTGGTATCGGGGCTGTTTTTTGCATTATCGATACAGTTTGTTGTCCGTGTGTCACTACGATAGGAAAGATGAAAGGCCTTGGCTGTAGCTATTAGCCAAATTGTATCGTGTATAAGTAATTAACCAGTAATTAATCTACCAGACTACACGGCGGAACAACCCAGAAGACAGAAATCTTCATACTCTGATGATGGAGGCAGTATGACCTCTGAGACGATGGTTAACATCGACCAGACTACAGAGCGCAACAACCCAGAAGACAGAAATCTTCATACTCTGATGATGGAGGCAGTATGACCTCTGAGACGATGGTTAACATCGACCAGACTACAGAGCGCAACAACCCAGAAGACAGAAATCTTCATACTCTGATGATGGAGGCAGTATGACCTCTGAGACGATGGTTAACATCGACCAGACTACAGAGCGCAACAACCCAGAAGACAGAAATCTTCATACTCTGATGATGGAGGCAGTATGACCTCTGAGACGATGGTTAACATCGACCAGACTACAGAGCGCAACAACCCAGAAGACAGAAATCTTCATACTCTGATGATGGAGGCAGTATGACCTCTGAGACGATGGTTAACATCGACCAGACTACAGAGCGCAACAACCCAGAAGACAGAAATCTTCATACTCTGATGATGGAGGCAGTATGACCTCTGAGACGATGGTTAACATCGACCAGACTACAGAGCGCAACAACCCAGAAGACAGAAATCTTCATACTCTGATGATGGAGGCAGTATGACCTCTGAGACGATGGTTAACATCGACCAGACTACAGAGCGCAACAACCCAGAAGACAGAAATCTTCATACTCTGATGATGGAGGCAGTATGACCTCTGAGACGATGGTTAACATCGACCAGACTACAGAGCGCAACAACCCAGAAGACAGAAATCTTCATACTCTGATGATGGAGGCAGTATGACCTCTGAGACGATGGTTAACATCGACCAGACTACAGAGCGCAACAACCCAGAAGACAGAAATCTTCGTACTCATCGCCGTGAAAAGTTCAAATCATACAAAAGCAAATACTTTCCAATGCTCAGTAATTTCTACGTTAGTTTGTAGACACATAATTTTATGAATATGTTTTCATGAAAACATAATTTATGTTGTCAGGAATACCACAAGTACCATTGATTGTAAACGAAATTTTGCGTCCGTAGTGTGGAAATGGTGAACCGATTTCTAGCTCTTTTTTTTTTTTTTGAAAGGAAAAAGACTGTCCAGGCTGATTCAGAGCTCTTTGAGAGAGATCATTCAGAGCAGAAATGTGAATAAATTTTCATCATGTCAGGCATCATGTCCGAGTGAAGACGTTCTTACGCCAATGTCTCTTTTAATTGTTATTTTTACAAAATGGAAACATTTTGTTTTAATATAACATGTCAGTCGATTTCCATGTTTGTAATAAATAATAAAGAAAGATAATTTTGCTCTTTTTAGCACACTTTATTACTTTTTTTTCGTGTGGTGGTGACTTGCTGTACTGTGCGTAATCAATCACAGCAGACGTCTGACGTACGTCCACGAACCATCAGCGCTGAGCGCTCTTCATACGAAAGTAATAAATAATACAAAACTACATCAAACTTAAACCGTCTCAACCTTGGAATCTCTGGTGAATCTACAAAAAGTTATTTAAATTTTTTCTCTAAATAATCCACTCAAAATCCTCCCAAAATATCGTACCAGAGCTTCGAATTGCTCTGTACATGTTGGTTTGAGGTTATGTTTAACGCCGCGTGGATTTGTAGGCAGATACAAAGAGGCATTGCGGTTGTGACTTATTCACTAGTCCAGTGATACCAACAGAACCAGATTATTGATCCAGAGAGGAAATTAATTTGTTGTTGTGTACACAGACTTGGTCTGCACGTGTGCTGGCTACTCGGGACAGATACGTCATCGTTTAGCTACGACGTACAAAACTACGTTAACTAAGGTCTGTAGACTTGACAGAATTCGGATTTAAAGTCATTGCTTATACGAGGCATAGGCGTAGATGATGGTAACACGGTTTGGGGATGCAGATTGAATTCTACTGGCTAAAGATAGGAACCAATAGCAAACTCGCGTTGTGTCAACGGGACTCCGGTTTCTGAAGGAGAAGGTTGCCTTGTAAGAGATTTGTGATCTCAGGGGAATAGTAACCAATTGTCATTAATGTTTTTTTCAAGAGATAATTAGGTATGCGAGGCGTTAGGAGATTAAGGGCTAGAAACGTAGATTCAGTAGACTCCTTGCGTTTGGACAAGAGCTTGTAGTTTAGTTAGGGTCATCACATGAAGGAGATCAGATGAAACTTATTAGAGCAACCGCTTTGAACATCCTCTATTGGATGAGCGGTCTATAAATGAAATGATACCAATAAACTGTATACCAGAGACTCGTTATGGTGATTTGCATAAACATGAAACATTTCAAGGGAGGGTTAATCTTTTGTTTCTGCTTTAATGAACCTTCAGATCATTTGGTGGCTAGTTTGCTAAGAGTATTGTTACAGAATCAGTATGGACGAGATGTTCAGGACATTGGACATTTAGCACGCGTGGGGCGACAGGAAAATAATATAAAATCTTAATCGGAAAACGTGAAGAGACCAGATTTTCAGTGACAGGGAAAATTTTAAATAAATAGGGCAATGAATTTTCGGATTCCAGAATAAGGCACTCCATGAAGCTGGTTGGTTGTCGGGAAACATCACTGACGATATTTATATACCGGCAGATGTTGCCTTGACTGAAGGTTTTAAAGTGATTTCCTAATCCTGATAAATGCTGAGACTCATTTTCATACCGTGAGATTTCAGTTTCTCGCCTCGACGAATCTTTTGAGATCTTATCGCCCTGATAATGGAGGCAGTAATCAGCTTTGAAACTTGGGGCCAATTTGTGCTAGGCTCTTGCGGTCTTTTTACCAGGTTTGACACTGCAGGGGTTAGAAAAACTATAAATAAACGAGACATCGGACGCGAGGTGTCGTGTTCCTTGGGGCAGGACCCAAGTTGCGTTTCTTCTATCATCGATCTCTGAGTGACGTCACCTGTGGCGGACGGACGAGTGTCATTCTTCCTGTCATTTATAAGTAATCGAACGAGGCACTCTTGGCTTCGATCGGCGACGGAAAACAAAAGCGGTTTGGACCAGTCGCAAGCGAACCAATGTATCAAGACACGCACGTGTCTCGTCGTTGGTATGCCAAGGATAATATGATTGGCTGAACATGTAGCTAGGACGTTGAAATAAACTATGAAGAGAGAAAGGAGTATTTTTAGAATTTTCATGGGTCCATTTCTTTCTCATATTAATTATTTCAATATTGAATATTTGTTTGTTAGCTCTCTGTTTATAGTTTTGATGCGTCATGTTTGTGTTTATAATTCACATATATATTTATTATTCAAGTCATATACACAAACTTTTAAATTTTGATGTTAAAATTTAAAATTTAAAATTGATATTCTGCGCCATTCATCGTTATCTCGATGTTACAATGTTGCGCTTTAATATTTCTACATGTTTCGATGTCATAGCATCATCTTCAGGTTTTTATATTTAAAACTATTCTATATTTGTTAATGCAAGCAAATAAAAACCTGAAGATGATGCTATGACAGCGAAACATGTAGAAGTATTAAAGCGCATATTATGTTGCATATTATGTTAGTTGTTCATTGTTCTGTGAAATTATTAACAATATAATTAACATTTGAGTTATTAATATTATTTATATGAAAATGAGTTTGGATATTGTTTAGTACAGCTATAAAGGGTTTTTAGTAGTAGACAGCGTCCATGTAGAAGTCACTGTTAAGAAATTTCATTTGTTAAGATCTACGTCATGTTTATATGTCGTATGGATATTCGGTTTTTAGTAGCTGCAAATTACAAGATACAGGTGGAATCTGAGATACGAAGTAAAGATTTTAGTAAAGGGAGTCCACTCCATGTAGAGTTGAAGAGGATGTTTTCTTGTAGTCTGGTAGAAGTTTACCGACCTTTCAGCAATTTTCAGACTCACCGCCGTGAAAACCTCAAATCTTATGACGCAAGGAGTCAAAATTTTGGGCTAACTCACTCGACGGACCTAATACTCGATCAGTAAAGAAATTCTCCGGTTTTGATGGCACAGGAATGTTCGTTCCCTTGTTCACAAGAGCCCGTCTCTTTTCGCTGAGTCCAGAGGAATCCATTTACAGTCATATCACGAACATTATAATATATCAGCACGTAAACTGCTTGGTACAAGATAAATTCGGTCAGGTGTAACATTCATTTGCTTGTCGTAGGCAACACAGCACATTTTAAGGATAACTGGCACAGTTTTCGTATATTTTTAAAATTATTTAATAATGAAAAATAAGTAATTTTTTTTTAAAAAAAGCCGACACACGTTGTGTTCGTGAAAACTCCCATGTTAGCACCTGCAAAGCTTTGCGCAACTGGCGTGAGCAACGGCCTAGCAAACCAGGGCGACCTTGACTCTCGTGTCACAAGGAAGGTTGGGAGAGTTTGTTACACTACGTACTTTATTGGGATATTATCGATTAATTGCGTAAGCAGAATTTCCTGAAGTTAGTTGTTGTATTGATGCTTTTAAACATTCTGAGTAACTTAAAGAGCTTAATTTTACGAGACATTTTCCTTGTAGACTGCCAAAGTGAAATTTGAGGTTCTGACGGCGGCGAATATGAAGGTTGCTGTCTTCTGGGTTGTTTCGCCATGTCGTCTGGTAAAAATTTACAGATGTTTCAGAGGCTATTTCTGCCTCCATCATCAGGACGATTATCAAAAAAATTCAAGACGGACGTCGTTAAACTGCTGAAGGTGTCGTAGTTCGTAGAGTAGTCTATTAAGTTGCTTGTTCAATGTATTCATGTCAGACGCACGTGTTTTGTGTTGTACAGCTGGCGGGTGCGAATTTCCCCTCGACGCAAGTAGCAGTTGGTGGTGGTACAGCCATCAAGATGATGAATCCTCGTGACGATTACAGGAAGACCATCATTGGAGGTGAGAATCGTCTTCTGCTGTACGTACACATTTAGCAACGCTCTATCAACTAATTATGTAGCGTAGAATGAAACTTGGAAAACTGGTAAAAATTCTCACAAATTCAATTCAGTATTCGTGTTTTGTCAACCAAACTGACGTAAATATTTGAAGGGTAGAAAACGCTGGCGTTGAGAGCATGAAATGCCACTGGGCCGAAGACATCGAAGGTTTATGGTAATATATGTGTATATATGTGTAATGTTTGTGAAGGTTGAATTTGCAGGGGCATAGTTTTAGAAAGAATGACTGGAAAAACTCACGCAAAATCTGTGAGGGCAGTCTTATGTTCCAAACATATTAGAATTGTATACTTTCCGAGTAAATATCAGGACGGTTATCGATGATTTGAACTGCTCGTTTCATTAACCACAGTTTTGGCCTCGATAGATATCGCTTTATATTATTTACTTTAAAAAATAAAATATAAGACAAATAGTTGAAGATGTAAGGAATGTGGTTCTTATGTGAGAACTCTGTTGTGGCGAGGCTAGAGGTTGGGACAGAGCACGACAGAGACGACGTTCTCGTAATGGGTTATTGCGCCGTGTAGTCTGGTAGAAGTTTACCGACGTTTCAGACGTACTTGCTGTATCCATCATTAGTGTGATCGTCCTGAAGATGGAGGCAGCAAGGGTCTCCGAAAAGTTGGTAACTTCTATGACACTACACGGCGCAGTAACCCAGAAGACAGCCATCTTCGAACTCACCGCCGAGGTTAAGAATGTGTAGGAGCTACACTTTCTTTCCTCTTAGTGCCGGATTTCGACAAAATTTAGTGGTGTGGAGTGAATTTGTTTTTGAATCCCATTGATTTATCAACGTAGTTGATATTTATGTTTTATTTCCATGATAGTGACTAAGAACTGTTCCACAATTAAAATTTTTTTTTTTACGTAATGCATCGGCGGCAAGAGTATAATGAATATATAATTTTACTTGAATGGATTTTAATGTTCTAAGCATTGTGTGTCCAATTGAAGCCGGAACACTGATAATTCTGAGGGAATTCTATTAAGGAGATTGCGCTTGCCACCAGACATTTGTTCGTTCTCTGATTACATTTTCGATAGCACTTAAGTCCTTTATAGGATAAGATGCATTAACTTCTCACAGCGTAACACTTTGTGTTTATGTGTATCGCTAGATATAATGAAGTTTGGGGTCATTTTGGTGCTCTAGGCTATAATTTATACACACGTGACATTAGATTTGTAACCGTTCCTCAGTTCTACGTTGTAAGAATGTTCATGGACGTAGGACGAGAATGGTTATGTCATATATATCATTAAGTGGGTGAGGAATATTGAACTTTTCTGATTCAAGGCCATGTGAACTTGGACAAGTGTACAACACGCAGCAGAAGAGCTTGAAACAACTGAAGCTCTATGCACGCAGGTGTCCCATAAGCCCCACGTGATACGTAGCAAAAATTCTAACACATCAGGAGTTTTAGCAAGAAAATTATTCTCTCTCTTTGTCATCAATATTTAGACTGGTTTGATGTGGTCCTCCCATTTTCGCCTATCTTGCGCCAATCTATTCATTTCCACATATTTTTTTACAGCCCACATTCTCAAAAATCTGAGTCACATATTCCAATCTTTGTCTTCCCTACAATTCTTCCCTTCAACTGTTCATTCCATTACCAAATTAACCAATGCTGGGTGCCTCGGAATGTGTCCCACCTTCCTATCTCTTCTTCTCGTCAGATTTTTCCTTCGCCTATCCTAAGACCTGCTCATTTCGTCCTTTATCAGTCCGCTTAATTTTCAACGTTTCAAAAGCTTCTATCCTCCTTCTTTCTCGCTTTCCCAGTGACCATGTTTCGCTTCTGTATTTCGCTGTGTTCCAAAAATATAACTTCAGAAAAATCTTTCTTAATTCCAGGTCAATGTTTGACACTAGTAGACTTCTCTTTTTGAAGAAGGCTCTTTTCGCCTGTGCTAATCTGCTTTTAAAATAAAGTTATTATTCACATCCACCACGTCTCGAAAATGTTACTTAAGCTTATACAGGGTGTCCATAAAAAACCTTTACAACTTCAAGACTTAATAAAAAATTAATGAGTCAAGATAACTCGATGGGGTTTGTTGCTTGTTAAACAGCGTCTCTCAAAGTTTTATGCAGTAAGTCAATAAACCTCTACATGTACACTCTTTTCTCGATGAACCAGGATACACATTGTGCCTTCTCCTGTGGAGTAGCCATTTCCTGTAATGTTAGATGTCAGTCGACGTGCACACATGCAATTAACAAAACTTATGTTATTAACTAAACAAAATTTCCTTAAAAACTTTTAGAGACGTTGTTTAACATGCAAAAAATATCATCAAGTTATCTTGTCTCATTATTTCTTTATTTAGTGTTGAAGTTGTAAAGGTTTTTTATGGACACCCTGTATAATGTATTTTATATTCTTAATAATACTTTTAACGCTATAGGCCTGTGTTGTTAATTAAAGTAGATATTGGATTGTAAATAAAAATGGTGTACGTATAAGACATCGCCATCGGTAACAAAGCAACAGATGAAGATAGCGGGTAGCACTGACTGAAATGTGTTATCATGTGGTAAGAGTTAAAACCGCCATCGTCGGGCTTGGATATTTATTCATACTGGACATTTTATCCTTAGATTAAAGCGCTTTTCTGTGTGAAAGTATCTTGTCTCTGGGCCGAAATTTGAATACAGGACCTCCCGAATATGAAGTTTCGTGAATCGCACAGAACTTGAAAGCTCGCTGTGTCTCGTTAAGGATATTACGTTTGGAACAGCGCGATAGAGACCATTAGAAGACAGGGAGACGATGTCATGGCCGGAACATTAATCCGGTGCTTGAATTATGGGGGACTTGACATGTATAACGGCGATCTAATAAAGGCAGGCTTCATGTATACAAAAGATAACTTCCACGCTGCGTGGTAATACTGGTAGACGTCGGCTAATCGAGACGAAGGAGTTGAAGGATAATTTCAAAGCGATATTACAAAAGTGTTATGTAAGGCCACTTCTTCAGCCATACACGGATGTTCCAGTGTGTTATATATTTCCAGCTTTCAGCTGATTTTAAACATACGATTGAATGTTCGTTGCTACAGATCAACATGTGGTGAATACGAAGATGGTTGTCTTCTGGGTTTTTCCCCCCTCATGTGTGGTATAAGATCACCGACGTTTCGGAGGTTCTTGCTGCTTCCATTATCAGGGCGATGGGTCATCGCTACAATCTAGAAGACAGCCGTCTTCGGACTCACCACCGAGAAAATCTCAAATCCGACATGTGGCGAATAGTATATTTCGAATAAATAATTATAATTTTATCCTTACGAAATTTTTTGTTGTTGGAGTCTATAGCACGGCGTTGCGCTTAGGTAAGCACCAGGAATACATTTGCCTTATAAATACATGAATAATTTATTTATTTAGCGTTATTAACCCTTAAAGCCTTTGTTCTACCGACTTCAAAAATCACTATTCGTTTGTATTTATGGGTTTCTTACTGCAAACAGTGATTATTTTCTTAATCAGAGTCAACCAGCTGATCTTTATAATGGTGAAATGTTGTGTTTTCTTTGCGGTACGGACTCAATTCTTAAATTTGATTCAGACGAGTACAAGAAAAGATTAGGCTACAATATTGGTTGAAAATGTACATGGACAGTTATTACGTGGAAGACTGATGGAGAAATAATCTTAAAATTTACTTTAGGGTAATAAATTATTGTGTGAATTAGAAATAGCTGAAGACGTGCACTTTTGTTGTGGCGGTGATGGACATTAGTGTTCCGTTACACAAGAGAATCGAAAATCCGAATAACAGTTAACTTCTGAATGAAGGAGTCATACTAGATAGGCAAAAGTGTACGTCACAACTCAAAATGGACCCACATAATAGCCTATATCTGGCCTACGTTGTGACGATATCTGCTGACGTCAGTAAGACTTCATTTCCGTCAAAGCGTGGTTGATAACACGTTCATCGTTACTCCACATCTTTCAAATTATTGAAACTAGTACAAAGACTTTACACAGTTGGGTCTTTAATCAACTCTTCATGTCTCAAAATAAATGGATGTGGGGAGACTGGTCTCATATAATTATTTATTTATTTGTAGTGTTCTGTCTGACGACAGGTCCATATGAACAGGATCCTTCCATCCTTTTCTCGGACTGGGACCTGTTCATATACGTTCTTGGCAGATGATCCAGAAGTGGTTTGCCATTGCCTTCTTCTGTGTGTGAATGGAAT